ACATCTAGAGAATGGACATTTAGATAGAGGACTCGAATAAGTGCCTGGTTGTTCACCTGAATAACTAGACTGGACTCTGTATAGGAAATGTCAGAGCAGACTCTTCCTGTTTAGGAAACTGAGGTCTTTTGGAGTGCAGGGATGCACTAGAAAGCAGTCCTGTTGTCACTTTATGAAGGGGACCCCTGAGCGTCGACCTTGACCCTGACCTGTAGTGAAGCCACCTCCAGGGCCACCTTTTTGCGACACTGAGGCCCCTGAGGATGTTTAAGAATGCTTTGGATTTCCCGCTTCAGTCATTCCTTCAGAGAATAAAAAAGAAAAGAAAAAAAATCTACAGTGTAAAAAGTTGGAGGCGTGAAAGTTTCCCCTCAGCCTTTTTTTTTTTTTTCTTCCCTCCCTCGGCCAATAAAAAGGGCCGCCTTTAATAAGCGGACTCCTCTGATTTGTCCGGATCTGCTGTCCGGGACGTGAGTGACAGCCCGGGTGGAGGGTTGGTAGATTTTGTTTCCCCCCCTTTCAGCTTTGCCCCCCTCTGACTTGAAGGGACTCTGTGTGACGCGACTGAAGCAAAGGGGGCCACACTAGAGCCTCGCAGGCGCAGCGGTGCGGGACAGTTCAGAAGCGCAGAGAGGAGAGGCGCACTGCGGGGAGACAGACGGAGCGCACCCGTCAACCAGCTGGAGGAACCCTACTTTAAAACCCCTTATGGCTGCTTGAGACACACCAATACACCCCCCCTCCCCCTTTTCTCTCTTTCTCTTGGACTCCTTTGGACTTCTACTTTTTTTTGGTCCTGACCAGAAGTTGTTGCAAGTCTAATTAAGTCGCTCCTAGTTGAGAAGTGAATCCACTTGCAGTGGACGGCGCAGGCGGCCATGGATACCCATATAAGATGGAAAGATAAACGGAGAATAAGGGACACCCCGATTACTTTAGCGGTGATTCTGCTTTTTGTCACGTCGTTTGCAGATTCAGGTAAGATGCAGCAGACCTGGGATGAGTGTGGATCAGCTTTGGAAAAAAGTTTTTCCCCTCAGTGGGTCACTGATGAGCGCCCCTCCTCCTTTATTGCTGTCTTTCCTTACCCAGCTTGCAGGATTAGACACTATTAAAGATTGAAATAGCTGATTTTGTCATAAAGTTTTAGTTTATTTATTTTTTATTTTTAGAAATGCTGCTGTGCATTCTGTTATCTGGTTCAGTAGCGCTTTTAAGGGGAAATTAAATGGGGCAGGGGCCCCTTTTACACATTTGCCAGCCCATAGTATGTATAATGCATACATTATAAAACACACAGATGAAAAATAACTTAGTTATAGATGATAAGTATTAATTGTTATTTGTTTTTATTTATATACCTCATTCTGTTTACAGTATGTCTATAATAAATAAATAAATAATAAAACTCCTGACATTCCATCATGGCTTTTACTTTGTTGTGAGTCATCCCAATTGTTAGTGGTCACCATGTTGTCACTACTTTTAAAACTTTATGCAATTCCCTCTTACTATTCTCTCCCATCTAGAGCTAATTAATTACAGGATAGCAGAAAGGTATTTATTTATTTATTTATAATTATAAACACTTATCAAAGGAGACTTTCCCAAAGATTTATATTTGAACTACTGTGTGGACTTTTTTGCAGGAATATTTTTTTGTGGAACACTTCAAGAGAAATCAGGGAGGCGTTTGCAGCTCTTTTTTTTCTCTAAACAGATGGGGAGGATGAGTAGAGCTTTCACAAGAGGGAGGGGCCGTAGCTCATCTGGAGTGGTAGGGTGGAGCAACTTGAAGGTCTCCAACACCAGGGGACATGGTTTCCAGAGTCCTGAAGTCCCTGGGTTTCTTTTTGTCAATATGCATTCATGTACAAAAAACAGCCTTTCATTCAAATGTGATTCAGAAATCTGAATCTGATGCATTCTTATTCTAGGGAGACATTTAGGGCTTGGTTCTGGCCTATAAGCTTTAATAGATTTTTTAAAATTAGAATCCTAAGTTGGCCTGGCACTGCTGGTGGTCTCTTGTAATGTCCCAACATAAGCATCTGAGCTGAACAGCTGGCTTCTTCATTGTGTTTTACACTGAAAGTGGTGACAGCCTTGTGAATTTGGTGAATTACGGTGAAATCTTAAAACTCAGGTCTCCCATAATAAGGTCATAATATGATATTTGAATTTAGATGGCTTTTGTGAACCAGAGGCTGGAGCTGGATGATTGTGCTGCAGGCTTGATTAAAAACCATCTACTGAATTGACTTGTGAAAGGGGTCCTTAGGGCACTGGTACACTTCCTGAAACATGGAGCTGACATATGCCAAATGGGTGATACTTGATGATTGAGTGGTAATAACATGTCATGAACACGGAAAAACCTGTGTAAAATAATTACCCCCTTCATCAGAGGATGAACGTTTTTCAATCATTCTGCTCTTTTGATTTGGCTTTCAACAGAACACGGTTAGTAATCTTAAAAGCTGTAAAAGAGTAAAAAAAAAGGATCTTTTGATTCTTTTTTACCCTTAAGGCAAACGAAGAGATATTCACTTTTTCCAAATTTTCTTTAATGATATGCCTCTTCTCACCCATGCTTAAAATCCACTTAGTCTCCGAGGCTAACCTTTCGTACATTTGTTTAAAAATATCTTCTCAGATAAACCGTTAGGGCTTTATATGAGTCTTAAACTCTATTGTTGTCCTGCTGCTTGAGAGTGTTGACATCTGCGATAAACATGGTGAAACAAAGCATGCTTTTGTTATATGTATATCATACCGATCCTAATGCGAAGCTTGAATAAGACGTCAGTTTTAATTAAAAACTGTAGTTGAAGTGGCAATGATTGTTGGTTAACAGCGTTGCTTCACAGCAAGAGGGACTTCAGTCCCAGCTGCAAAGGCCTTTCTGTGGGAAGCTAGCATTTCCTTCCTGTCCATGCTCTCCAAAATATGAATGCTAGGTTAATTAGTGATTACTCATGGAAAGAATGACATTATGAGGACATGGTTGTTAGATTCAAGTCCTGTAATATTGGCTCTTTGCTATACTAGAGGAAATTTTATTATTCACAGAATAAGATATATATGTATACCGTTTTTGGTGCTTGATTTTTGATTTGTTCTTAAGTTAGACTCAAAAGAGAGATTGATCTAATTGTCTTCCCCCTGTGTCACTTTTACATGTTTTTGATAATATTAAATTCTTTTTTAGAGGAACAATTTATTTCTTAGTATGTATCTCTGGGTGTTTTCAAAAATATGCCTTTAAGATACCTTCTTAAAGCTAATAAAATTCGAATTACGTATTACTTGAAGAATCTTATTGAAACAAAAAAGACCTATAATATTCTTTTAAAGTTTAATGCCGTCTAACTTTAATAATAAGGATAAGTTTGTCCTTTGTTTAACGTCCAACTATTGGGTGTCTTAAATCTTCTTTTCATGGTGATTTATTTAACCTAGAAATAATGTGTCTCTGCTTTGCTCATTTGGGTACATCTTGTCCAAATCTAACCTGGTGAAAGATGCTAACCAGTCAATATCGGACTCGCCCGTTTGATGTGGCCTACATTCCACCACAACGACCTAAACAACTTTTCAACTGCATTCAGACTTCCATAAGCTTCTTTATGTTCACTTGATGTTCCAACCACAAATGCATGTTGTGTAGATTAAACTTTTCTTTTCCTCTAAAACAATTTGGCTTGGTAGCCATTTTTGCGGGTAATATAAACTTCTTGGGTTGCCTTTTTGCTACGTGGCTAGTTGCTAACCATTCATTGTAACAAATGACTTTCAAGCAAAAAAAGGCAGATATAGTTAAATATATGCTCATGTTGTGATTCTCAGTTCATAGAAGGAAATGTTTTAATCTGAAAGTAGTAAGTGCATGAAAGGTTTGTTTTTTGCTTAATTTTATTAATACTAACAAAAGTCCAAGTGAAAGTCTGGTTAACTTGGGAGGCCATGTTCTGCCGTCAATTAGGAACCATTAAGGCTAAGTGAAAAGTAACATTAACATCAGGCCTGTAAGTCCCTGAGGTAAAGAACAAGAGAAAAGGTCAAAGTTCAGAGGTGACACTTATACCATCCATATTGTTGTAATTATGTTTTTACTGCCAAAGGAAGATACATTTTTTTTTTATTTGTGTAAATACTGTAAGTACTCCGGAAAGTTAGACTGAGATAAAGAGTAAGTTTGGTTTAATAGAGAGAAGCTTAAGTATTTTTTAAACTATTCTCTGCCTAGATTATAGTTTCCATTTTGAGTCTTTCCTAATTGTTTCACAGTTATATCTTATTGCCTGTGAGCAGTCATTTTTTTCTTTTCATGTCATAGGAGTTGCTTTAATCATTCAATAGTTTAATGACAAAATGGAATAGCATAAAAATTATATTTTACTTATTTTCAGTAAATTGGTTTTAACTGATTATCCAAATGTGTCTTTTAACGATCTTTGTCCACAGCAGGAAATCCACATAGGACCAGAACCCAGTCATCAGAAATACTAAAATAACATTCTTTGAATACCTTAGGCAAATGAAAACAGGGCTGTACTTTATCCAAACCAAAAGGTAATATATGGCAGCAGTTGAGAAGCAGTTGTTTAGCGAAAACCTAAAATAATATATCCAGGAAAAAGGAGTTATGCTATAAACTCCAACGTGTTTAATCCTAATGTAAGTTCAAAAGGGATAAACAGAAGACCTGGTCTCTCTCTGAGCGCCTTCCCATCTGGATTCGATAAGTTCCATTCTGCTGTCTGCTAAGCCCTCCAAAAAGCCAAAGAAATGTCTTCCAGATGTTTTCCTCTCATTCTTGGTGGAACAGGGGAACCATGAAGAAAAAAAAAACACATTTTCTTTCAAGAGAAAATACGCCATTATGTGTTTGTTTCAGAGAAAATTTCCAATCAAATAATACTGACACACTTGTAGAGAGTTTTAGGGGTATAATAGCAACATATGCCTTTTATTTAGCCATTTTTTAACTCGGGTCATTAAAAGGTTCCCTTTGTTTCTGTGGGTCAACTTTATGGCAGGGCTAAAGGTCTTCCACAGCTGGTCCACAGCTGCGTTTGATCTAGAATTGCTTTCTATCTGGATATCTCTCAAAAGGACATTTTATGGATTGGTCAATGCCCTTTAGCATCAGTTTTTTCATAAAGACAGTAAAAAGACCCCAAAAAAGCTAATAGATTTTTTTGTGGAATGCCCACAGTTCGTACTCTTGTGGGGTGCTATCAACCAAGGCTTATCTTCATTTATAAAATGTTAGTCATTCATCTCTCTTAGTTTATGATAGCAATTAAAAGTGTCAATATTCTTTTTTCTGTTTTTTTTGGAAAACTGCAGCTTATTGAATGTTTGAGGAAGAACTTGGTCGGGAAAGTTCTCTTTTATTCAGTTTAATTATCTTTTCTCATCTATTTCATGTTCTTTGAATAGGTTTTAGCGCTGCTGGTTCTTACCCTTGTTCTATTAGCTTTATCGAGGTCATGTCCGACAATATCAGATAAGTGGCCATGAGAGAGACCAGCTTCTTGTGTGTGCCTATTGACTTGCTGCAGAGGAAGGCATCTGGCACTGCATGGAGTAGCAGTGACCCTGGAAGTGCATGTTTCACTTCAAGTCTGTAAATGCAGGCTTTGTTGAAAAGGGATTCTGTAAAACAGTTAGAAACCCTGATAACAACATGGCAAATAAACCAAAATATGCAGGACAAGTCTTAGGCCCAAAGTCAGAGATAAGGACATTTTTTGTGACTCAATCAATGCATCATTTGCCATATCCTGTTTCAGATTAACATTGAGGCTTATTTATACTAATGAATGGCTGATTATTTTTCAAAGTGTTGCAGAGTGTTTAATTTTTGACTATTTGCTGAATCTCACTATATGCATAAATTGAGATTCTATTTAAATCACAAATCAGTCCAAATTGCTAATTACAGAAGCAGTTTGTTCTGTAGCCTTTAT